TGTGCACAAGACATACAATTAAACAAGCAATTTCAACATGATATCTAGAATGACACAAATTAAATGAGCTACACTAACTAACATAGGGTTATAGAATCTAAACTGAAATCCAGTTCTAACAAAATTCAAGCACTATGGAGAAAAGGAGAAGGCATGATGGGAAGGAAGAGAAAAGATGGAAAGAGAGTTGACAAGTATCAACCACGAAGAACACACTGAACCCCGAGAATTTTAAGGTTACTGATAAGACGTGAAAAAGGGAGGAACAATGTAACTTACATTTGGACCACGTATACGAGCTGCAATGTTCAAGGATGGATCTGCGTCAAAGCCCAAATATACACAAGTACCTTGTGCCTGAGTAATCAAATTCCATTAGAGAACTTATGCCATCAATTTAAATACCACATAAAAGCTGACATTTAATGCAATAATACCTCATGGTCGGATTCTGACCCTGTTTCAGCATTTCTTCAACCATAGCAGCTGCACGGTCAACTGCTAAAATACGTTCTGCTGTCTCTTTTAACTGGCAAGCCATGATTATGATGAAACCAAATCAAAATTCGTCCATGAAAATTTCTATTAAAGATGGACACTTTAACAGATAGCTAAGATAGGAGGTTTTTCAAAAGGGGATATGGCCTAAAGTTTACGATTATAGAGATCTTTGTTTAACTATCTAATCTTGACAGTTGACACAAATGAGAAAAATTTGAAATAACTTGCGTATGATGATGCCACATAATTTAAGAAAAACAATCCAATCATGGATGGACAAAAAGAAACTCTCAGAACAACCAAATCTATTGCACACTTTTATAACCAAATCATGAAGCTAATTGACTTACATGAGCCCCTGAAGATATATGAAGATATAGTGGCTTTTCACCATCAGTTGATGAATTTGGTGGACGATACCTTCCCCTGTAAAGGCAATTCATTATATGTGTATCTATGACTATGAGCAAGAAAAACGAACAAATATAAATGCACTGAACTGACATTGAAAGCAAACCAACCTTGTTATCACCACAGCTCCCGTGCATTTTTGGATCTGCGAGTAATATACACCATCAATCTCAAAGAAAAGAACCATCCATTTCAAACAAAAATAAATAAAATATCTTAGGAAACACAAATTTTGAAAAAGAAAAACAAAAAACACCTCCTCCTGTGTTTGGCGTTTTGTCAACTTGTAGCGAACTGAAGACTCTGCATCGTTAATAACAATTTCTCGTGCTATTATTAACTCATCTTGAATCTTCGGCTAGATTGCAAGTCATTGAACAAAACAAAAACGAAATTTGAAACTAATCAATCGGAATACTGAATTATGAGCAAGAAAAGAACAATAAAATCATAAGTGGATTAGGTTAAAAAACCAAAAATATGGGGCAGGGGCAGCTTACAAAACATATACCCCAGAATTAAGAAATCATGAGTGGATGGCGAAAGTTTCTCCCAATCCTCATGCACATATACCAACTAAATGCAGCACAATTCAAGCAAAATGGGTCTATTAAAGACATGAAAAGTAAATAAAAATGCCCAAAAGCGAACTCACTTGAATTAATTTCTGAATGACTGTGGCAGTCTGTGGCGGGATCAGAGGTACCTGATATGCCTGAGGTATGGTTGCATAGCTGGCCGCAATTGCATTCATCGAAAGAGCACCAGTAACCGGAGTTGTGCCAGGAATTGTAATCCCACCAAGAAATCCCACATTTCCCATTGGGAGAGCCCCAGGCACTGCTAAACCGGCTGAAACCAAGGATGCTGCAGGTTGATCCCACTTTCTTTTCTTCCTGTACCAAGTGCTAAAGGTTTAACATATTTTCGTGAACCACATGATTTAAAACACAAATAGACAATCACACACGCACAAGATCAAGCTCAAGCTCGCCCACACATAATTCCCGCAATTAGACATCTTGAACTACACAATGAAATTCAATTATCTTTAGCAACTTTGGGCGATGGAGATCATGGTTTCGACAACGCTACTGGCCGCGCAACTTTATCAGTAAGCCAAGACATCATGCCCAAACTATTTCAAGTAATGAACTTTAAATTTTATCCTTCCATCCTTAAAATTCCAATTCCAATACCAGTTAAAAAAATAAAGCAAAAATGTAGCTCAAGTCAAATATTCTAAAATTATTTTTCCCCAATATTTTACAAATATAAATAAATTGATAGTCAAATTTCACAAGCAGCAACACCACAATTGCAAATATGAGAAAGCTCCCAAGATAATAAAAACCCTAAAACACCCCTCCATGCAACCAGAACAAGGGCAAAAAAATCTACAATCCATTAACAAAACCCTAAAATAATAAAATTTTGAAGCGGAGGAAGAAAATCGAGAGAAAAATCACAGGGGTTTAATAAAAATAAGAAATTTAAATTAGACAAAGGAATTAGGGTTTTAGCGGGACAACTGTGAATATTTTCATGATTGCATAATATATATAGTTCCTTCACTATTTTCTAACAACTGTGAATATTTTCATGATTGCATAAATTAGGTCCCGGCTGCTCTTCTGTGGCATATGGTGCATCGGAAGAGATAGGACCATTTAGAATAAACAAGAGTGCTTCAGGACTAAACTTGAACAAGTTCTCATGGAACACAGTTGCCAATCTCTTGTTCTTGGAAACTCCAGCCGGGGTCGGCTTCTCCTACAGCAACCGCTCCTCTGATCTCTTTGACACCGGTGATCGTCGCACTGGTAATTATCGTTAACCTAATTTACATCATTAGTTGCTTAATTAGTACCACACTTAATGATTTATGCACATCTGCAAGTGCATCAGTGTGTGATTAACTTTTAAGCACCGAGTGCTTATGATTGTTCTTTGAGTAGGAGGTACTAGGGCCATACCTATGTCGATCACGACTAGCTAACCAACTTATTAATTATAGTAAATGATTTATGGAAAGAGTCAACAACTACTGCTCCAAAATTAACACGTGGAATTCTGTTCAATTATTGCTTCTTCTTTTTTCATATAAATTGCCTTGATGAATTAAGATGAGAACCAATTTTTCCTAGTTGCGACGAGTTTGATGATCTTTAATTTTGCATGCCCCCTTTCAGCATTGTTGTCTATATATGCGGCATACTAATTTGGTGGGGCTGCTATAGACACTCTAAGAAACCATTCGAGTCTCAATCATTCATTTCTAGTAAAAACAGTACAAAATAAGTGAGTGCATATGATTGTTTTTTTTTAGTGCTAGCTAGTTACGGTTTATTTTTGTTCACCACCCTTAAGTAGTAGTAATACTCATCATTCTATTTATCATTTTTGAATAAGTTAAATTTTGAGATTTTTGTCTATCTAATACACAGATCTCGAAATTTAAACGCATCTAATGATGATAAATAAGATGGCGAGAATTACCACTTGAGGGTGGTGAGCAAAAATATTCCTGACTAGTTAATAGCAACTCCCATTGATCATCATCTCTACACAATTAATATATACATATATATTTCATTCAGCGTGGTTTACTTACTGGTTAATCAGAGACGTCCAAATTTTTAAATCAAATTTTGTAAAACAAATTATGTGGTTGTTGATAATTGAATTATTACTTAAGTATTGATTAATATGTTTATTTCCTATCGGTGACACATCATTTGGTTTGCATAGCATTACCCTTATTTGTTTTCATTTGTGTTCGGATTGGAATAAGGGTATGCGAAACTGATTAATGGGGTGTTAATTATATTTCAGCAAAGGACTCATTGCAATTCATAATCCGATGGCTGGATCGATTCCCACGATACAAGGGCAGAGAAGTATATCTCACAGGCGAGAGCTATGCAGGACATTATGTTCCTCAGCTAGCCAAAGCAATTTTGACATACAATTCACAGTCCAAACACCCAATCAATCTTAAAGGAATAATGGTATACATCAAATTTAATTCACCTCTAATCCATTTAACATTCACTTATAGCTTATATATTTGACTAACGTTACTCTATTATACGAACGTGTGAACACATTAATTAACAGTTCATAAAACTATACAGTATGAAATATATGAGAACCCTTTGAGATCCATGAGTTAAAAAAGTTTTCTGTGATCGATCATTCGCGGTTGTACCATAGAATTTTCCATGTTGTGGATGTATACTGTCGAACTTACTGGTGAATCTACCTCAGATTAATTAGTTAACGCAAAATGCAGGTGGGTAATGCAGTGACAGACAACTACTACGATAACCTAGGAACGGTGACATACTGGTGGAGCCATGCAATGATCTCCGATAAAACCTACAAGCAACTGATCAACACATGCGATTTTAGGAGGCAGAAGAACTCAGATCAATGTGAGTCGTTGTATAGCTACGCCATGGATAAAGAGTTTGGAAACATAGACCAGTATAACATTTACGCACCACCATGCAACAACTCCGATGGAAGCACAAGAACTTCTACAAGGCAGACTGCTATGCATTTGCCTCATCGACCGGTATATATAATACAAATATTTCGTCAAGTATCTTCGATTATTTGCACATTAATAAGAATGTACTTACAAATCATTCCGTTTTTTACTTTTGCTCTCAAGATGTTCCGGCAAATATCCGGCTATGATCCTTGTACGGAGAAATATGCTGAGCTTTATTACAACAGGCCAGATGTACAGAAAGCACTCCATGCCAACATAACCAAAATTCCTTATAAGTGGACTGCTTGCAGGTGATCAATACAACTCCAACATTTTTATTTTTCATTTCTTTTCCAGGTGGAGGGAGTGCTTACGTTTATCTTAGTTAACAGCTGATTAATTTGTGTAATTATTTGATGATATAAATTGCAGTGAGGTTTTAAATCGAAACTGGAACGACACAGATGTATCGGTTCTTCCTATTTACAGGGATATGATAACTGCTGGTTTAAGGATTTGGGTTTTCAGGTATATTATTTAACCTCTATAATTACTGTTTTATTTATTATCAAACTCTTTCCTCGTATGACATTAATTCATGATTATAACTTACTGAACTGATGCATATATGTATGTACGTATATATATAGTGGAGATGTGGACTCAGTGGTGCCAGTCACAGCCACTAGATATTCCCTTGCACAACTCAAATTGGCCACCAAAATTCCATGGTACCCCTGGTATACTAAGAAGCAGGTCAGTAAAATATTAATCTGGTATTGTAAAATTGAGTAACGATAGACAACTATATATATATATATATATATATAATTTATGGTGTATATGCTGTGAAGGTCGGAGGGTGGACAGAGGTATACGAAGGGCTGACATTTGCAACAGTGAGAGGAGCAGGTCATGAAGTTCCACTTTTCAAGCCAAGAGCAGCTCTTGAGCTTTTCAGATCATTTATTCAAGGGAGGCCTCTTCCCAAATCCTCATGAAAATTGAAAAATAAAAATAAAAGATAAATATAAAGACGTGAAAAGGAAAAAAATTATTCCTTGTCAATTCTAATACCAATTGGTCTTCTGAATTTTTATTGTCCTCCCAGCTTGACAAGAAATGTTCCGCAAGTGTTGAGAAACAAGTAGAGAGAAATGAGAGTATGATTATGTTTTAGGATAGGCATATGAGGTGAAATATGAAAAAGGTGTAGTTTGTAATTTGTGGTTGTTTGCTTCCCAGCATCAAGTGCGACTTTTGGTAGACCCAAGTGTAAAACTCCATTGATGGGGGTGTTTGATTCTTATTCAAAGTGTCAAGTGATGATTCAAATATTCGAACAACAATATGCTTTGTTCAAAATCCGACCTCGGAGTCTAAATCTACAATGCTTGAACCGTGTTGCTCGGCTAAACAAAATGTAAGTTGAGAATTGAGACGAACGATTTAGTGGGTTATGTTGTAAGGGAATGCGTAAGGACTCTTGTCTCCTTCGCAAGTTTTGGGCTCAACTTATCCAAAAGAGCTTTGTTGCTATGTACACAAGTGATTTTCAGATGAGGAGGCCCATTTGGCAAACATGCAAAGCTCTGCAAAAGTGGATCGATAGTTTCGTGTCGCCGGAACTTGGTACACAAGTGAGTTTCAATGGATGAGGTGCATGTCATTGATGATGTTAATATTCGATGCAATATCGTCATTCGCGTTATTGCCAGTACTTTAATGGGTCATTTTGACCCGTTTGTACCATAACACCGAATTTGGACATTAATCGGCAGATATTATTGGATGGCTCCTAACATCCTCCACATGTAATCCTCTTATTGACAACAGTAGACGTTTTCTGAACATTAAATCATACAACTCTTAACAATCTCCCTCACATAACCTCTTTGTCGATGTTATTTAGTACTACGGTCTAGTGGTATTCTTCTTCACTTGTAAGTGAGGTCTTATGTTCGATTTTCGTTAAAGGTGAATTTAAGCTATATTATTGTTATCTTATTGTGAGGCTTATGAAGATCATCTTCAATAGGAGAGATGTATTCCATTTACATTTTTCTCTTTGACAGATGACATCGACCTTCAAAGGATGTAAAGTTACATCTTTATTTACATTTTTCGACCAAAATAATTTTTTATATCTCGTCTATTAGAGAACTTTTCAGCAAACCAAAAATACAAAATACCTTAACTTAATGCATTTTGCACCTCCAATTGAAGATACTTTAACAATTTTCTTATAGGTCTTCTTCTCATAACTACATTTATAATTAGCCCAACCTATTTGTTCAACATAAAGTAGGGTTTCGTCATTAATGAAGTAATATTACTCAAAGGGTTTGGAGGAGCAAAAGCTTTTGTAAAATATTTTCTTTTCTTCGGCCCCATCGAATCGTGCATTTCACACTGTAAATCTTGAAGCTTGACATCCATTACATTAAAATTGAGAATTGAGACAAACCCCGTTGTTGTGTTGTTCTTGGATGCTTTCTTCCATTACATTATAAGTAACCTTATAAAGCTTAAGTAATGAAAATTCTTTAAATTGAAGCGACTGCCGATTCCCATTTGCATGTAAAATTGGACTGGAAACTCAAGGGGGAAGCATTCGCTGGTAACTAAAGCGCCACTCCTTGACTATGTCGTGGTGTTGATTGAATCCAATCCCTAAGTCCAGAAACGAAACAAAGTTCATTTGCTTCATTTACATTAGGATAATCCTAGGGAGATCAAATTTGTAAATCAAATTTGCAAATCAAATTATGTGTCACTAATAAGAAATAAGTACGTTAATTAACACTTAAATAATTATTCAATCATCAACAACTACATCATTTAGTTTACAAAATTTAGTTAAAAATTCGATCTCCCTAGCATTACCTTTTATATTAATCTGAATAAGTTATAGTCAAACCATTAGTGATGGAAATTAATTACAGAAAGATTCTCATATAAATTAACCTAGATAGTGTTATAATTGTAATTATCTTTTTTTTTTCTTTTATTTAAAAAAAACAGGGACAATTGATGGCAAATCACGATTATCTATCATTTCCGGGCCCAAATAGGCTATGGAGAATTTCACTAAGTGCCCGTGGCCACAGTCAAACAGACTCACCAGCTCGGAACATTGAACTTGGGACCCCGCACATTTTTTTGTTTATTGAGGAACCATAGTCTGCGTCCTTATTACTGGACCACTTTCTATGGTTAATTGTAATTATCTATAGGTTTAATTAAATAGTTGGTTTTCTAGTTAAATTTTTGGGTTTTCTTTGGGGAGAAGGGGTTCTAAAAACTTGGCCCCTTTCCAACTAGTATGCTAATTAAATTAAGTAACATATCTTGCATCTGCAGCACATTATCACAACCAATATTTCATGGGATGTTGTAGTGAACTATAGAGCTGCTAGACTCACTCAGTGTGCCATTCACATTATAATCCAACCAACCATATAAAAGTTAAAAAAAAAAAAAATTAAAATGTTAGTTTTAAACCCACTATTATTCCTAAAATAATATTTAATATGCTATTTCTCTACCCACTATTATTTCTAAAAAAATTGAAATGCTATTTCCCCAACAACAAAATATCCTTCGACAATAATCTACTAGTAAATGAATAACATTTAAAATGCTCTGTTGATGTGTGATTATGCACTCCAATAACTACCATAAATATCAAATCATCATCGATTTTTAATTTCTTACCCTATAATTGGAAAGGGCATACACACTTTTTCGTTTTAGAATTCCTTATATCCTCATGCTTTATGCCTTTTTGCAAATTCGACTTACTTATTGTTTCAAAATTTAGTGTAGGTCTAGGAAACCTGTTACCTTTCCATATCCAATCTATTTGTATTATATATCTTTTAAAGTCATTATCGGTCATTTTACAGATAAGTGAACTTGTAATAAATAAAAAATTATTAAAAAAGAATGCAGATATAAAACTAGGTGAAAAAAAAACAACACTTTTCTTTCATTACGTACTATTCGGTTGGAACTTCATTTGGATTTCATACACTTGCATCTTAGAAATGTCTTTGGTGTGAAATTACAAATTCATGAATTTGGAGGTTGACTGGGACTTTTTGAGTTTGGTTGGAAGCAAAACATTTTTAGAGGACAAGAATCACTTCTCCTCTTCTCATTCAAAACTTATTCAAAAGGTTGTCTTCTGGAAAGGAAAGAAGATACTTTGTTTGACAAAACGGACAAAACGAACAAAACAGAAAAGAAAAAATATATATAAGGGATGGGAACCACATTATTTTTAAAAAATAAGGACTAGTTGCAAGACTTACTCTATAGTTAACTTCAACAATTTGAACTATCTATTTTTTTAAATTGTACCTTATAGATCATCTCTACAAAGATTCAATTCAATCCGAAATTATTTGCATACTTAATTGTCAAGATGAAATTTCAATAAAATAGTTCAAATTCATATTTTGGCAAAAATCGAACCTAAAACCTTTCACTTACAAATAAAAATGAATACCACTTTGTTTTAGAAGGAAATACAAATACCTTACGCTATAAAATTGAGTACCACTAGTTTTGGTAATACGAGATCGTTATAGTATGCTAAAAGTACGATGATAGAGCTTTCTTGAAAAATATGTGAAACATTCATGTGTGAAAAGTATGTACACTCGCAAGTGTTAATATGCGTTATGTTTGATTTTAAAAATTAATGTTTTAATGAATTATTCAAACGTAGCAGAAAACATAAGCATTTAAAAAAAAAAAACTACGCAAATATGAATGTAGTATGTACGCAAATTTAAACTAACAAAGAAATTTCATTGAATTTTGTTTGCAAAATGATGTCATTATTTAATTCATTTGAATCTATTCACGAGAAATCTAATTATTAAAGCCTCTGTAGTTTGTTTTTTAAGTCCGCCGTTAAATCTCAGGGCTCAACTCTAAATATGCGGTACCAAGCTCGAGTACATTAATAAGAATATTAATATACACATTAATATTAACAAACCAATTAATGAACAAATTTGATAACTAATTTTGATGACTCTAGTATTATTTTTAAAAATTAATTTGGCATGAATTATGTAAACGAAAACTAGTTATGTAAGTTTTAAAAAATATAGTAAAGCAGAGGTTTTTGGTTTGTGGAAATTTTCTTCAAGCACAAGAAGTTGGTAGGTGTGATTTATCAAAATAAATCGAAATATGTGAAATGGACGGCTTTATTAAATATTGTCCACATGGGAAGTGGAGACACCACCATGGTAACTGAGTAACTTTATACTATATTTTTATCTTTATGGAAAAATTAAAAGACTAGTATTATACTTGTAATCCGGATCTCTACGTTCAGAGTCGTGGATTGAGAAATTTAGACTGTTTAAAAGAGAAAAAGATCCGAACTGTTCAAATTTTTTGAATTTTTATGAAGTACATCAGTGTAGTGACTAATGAAAGTCTTACGATTAAGATTAAGTGGTTTAAATCTCTCAATTCAAAAACACGAACATAGAAATTAAGAATAAATCCATATCCTCTAAATAATACATAAAATAATCGTCACATATTCAATATTCAGTTTTCAAATAGGTCGTTGAAAATATTCTTTGTTAAGCATCGTAGTCTGCATACAAGTTAGACGGTAGACTGAAACCGAGAAGGTCAAAGCATCCAAGCCCCCAAGTGGTGGTATTAAAATAAAAACAATAAAGTCCAAAGATTTCAATTGGAGAAAAGTATAAAACCCAAAATTATCCGAGAAAGTTGGGCTTCTTTGTATTTTCCTGAAAGAAAATTACACCGTTATATCCGCACAGTTTCTTGACTGCTGTTACTGGCTGCCAGATCTTTTGCTGTTACTGGCTGCCAGATCTTTTGCTTCAACCATTTTTAAAGCTGAATTTTGGGGTCTCTTTGTTTTCCCTTTTTGTATGTATTGCAAATCTGCAACCTGCAAAAAGTTTGAATCCTGCGAAGAGAAAGAGGTAAGCATTTTTTCCGCTGTTAATTTGCTTTTTTCTGTTCAACTTTGGGATTTTCTGCACCTTATTGTTAATTTGCTTTTTTCTGTTCAACTTTGGGATGCAACTGATGGCCAACTTTTTGAAAAGATTGGTGCTTTTTCCTAATTTAACAATAAAATATTGGTTTTTTTTCCTAATTTAACAATAAAATATTGTTTTTTTTCTAATTTGACAATAAAAAGATTGATCCTGCTGTTTGCCGGACTTCTCATCCTCAGCCGCCTTTTGGATTCCTACTTGGTTTTTGGAGTGTTGTTCGTTGGGTTTTTGCCAGTTTTCAACATAGACTACTTGAGTGGATTCAAAAGTACTGATTTTTGGAGTTGTTTCACCAAAGGGGTATCTTTTGCTTTTCTGAATTTTGGAAGAAATTGGAGGGTTTTGGTTCAATTGCTGAAGTTGTTTCTTATACAGTGGTGGATTTTGAACTAGGAAGGGCCTGAAGTTCAACTCTTGTTCTTGATCCGAAAACCGGAAAGATTTGAGTTGGATTTGTTGGTTCATTTCTGGGTGTGTTTATTGTATGGTTATGGGGGATTGTAAATCTGTGAACCCGGAAATGGAAGGAGACTGCGATTTGATTGCTGCGGCGAAGAACATAGCGAGGGCATTGGGGTCGAAGAAGAACCTTACAGATGGTGAAAGGGAGGTTCTGGCTAATCTTGGCACCCAATTGTCCAGCATGATCAGACTCGGTGAGAGAACTGATGAGAAGGTAACTGAGGTGGCAGATCGCCTTAATTCGATTCAGGAGAGGATAATGAGGTGGGAGGCTGATCAGTCTATGATATGGGATTCGAGTCCGAATGAGTCTCTGGAGTATGTCAAGGCTGTGGAGGAAGCTCGGAGGTTGATCGAAAGATTGGAAGCGTCGTGTTTGGATAAAAATGATGAAGAGTGCGAGGTGTTGCATAGAGCTCATGATGTTCTTCAGACAGCAATGGCTAGGCTAGAGGAAGAGTTCAAGCACATGCTTGTTCAGAACAGGCAACCCTTTGAACCCGAGCACATGTCTTTTCGTTCTTGTGAAGAGGATATTATGGATGGAAGCTCGATAATCTCTTTTGGGGACGAATCGATTGAGGACTCACTTCGAAGGGATAGTGTTAGCAGAGCGTCTGAGGAAGTCATCATTGATTTGGTTCATCCCGATGTAGTTCCTGAGCTCAGAGGCATTGCAAATTTGATGTTCAATTGCAATTATGATCAGGAATGTACGCAAGCTTATAGCATCATCCGAAAGGAGGCATTGGATGAGTGCCTCTCCATTCTCGAAATCCAGAAGCTGAGTATTGAGGATGTGCTGAAGATGGAGTGGGGCTGCTTGAATTCCAAAATCAGAAGATGGGTCTGGGGTATGAAGATCTTCGTGCGACTTTATCTAGCTAGCGAGAAATCGCTCAGCGATCAGATTTTTGGGGATCTGGGACCGATTTATTTGGATTGTTTTGTTGAGGCATCAAAGGCTTCAATGCTGCAGCTTCTGAATTTTGGTGAAGCCATGTCTATTGGCCCCCACCAACCGGAAAAGTTGTTCCGCATTCTTGACATGTATGAGGTGCTTGCAGATGTTCTTCCCGATATAGATGCTTTATATGCGGACGAGGCTGGTTCTTCTATAAGAATTGAGCGTCATGAGGTTCTGATGAAATTGCGTGAGTCTGTGAAGGCGACATTTAGTGAATTCGAGAGCGCCATTGCATCAAACCCCTTGACTAACCCTGTTGCTGGAGGAGGAGTACATCCTCTCACCAGATATGTGATGAATTACTTGACGACTCTCACAGACTATGGAGAGACTTTTCATTTTCTCTTCAAGGAGAGTGATGATGCTGATTCCTTTTTGCTGTCTCCTGACACGAGTCCTACCTCAGAAGAGGAAAACAAAGCCACTGATTCTCCAGGCAGAATTTCCCTAATGGTTCACCAGTTCCGATCACTTACTTCAACTCTGGAAGGCAACCTTGATGAGAAGTCCAGGTTATATAAGGATCCTTCCTTGCAACACGTATTTTTGATGAACAATCTACGTTACATGGCTCAGAAGGTTAAGGGGGATGAACTGAGGCTCATTTTTGGAGACAGCTGGCTTAGAAAGTGCAACGGGAAAGTTCAACGGCACGCTATGAACTACCAGAGATCTAGTTGGAGTTCCATCCTTAATTTACTCAAAGAGGAGGGCATTCAAAATCCCGGTTCAAATTCTGTCTCAAAAACCCTCCTCAAGGAAAGGCTCCGCAGCTTTTACCTTGCGTTCGAGGAGATCTACAAGAGCCAAACAACGTGGCTCATTCCGGATCCTCAGCTTCGAAAAGATGTGCAAATCTCAGCGTCCCTGAATGTAATCCAAGCTTATAGGACATTCGTGGGAAGACATTCGAATGACATAAGTGACAAGCTCATCAAGTACAGTGCGGACGATTTGCACAATTACCTCTTGGATCTCTTAGAGGGATCCCCGAAATCATTACAAAATTCCAGCAGGAGGGTGACAGCAAAGTAGATGGTGTAGTCACCATTGTCTTGTTATTATTTTCAGCAGAGGACATATTTTGATTTTACGTTCCCCTCTGCTGCTCATGTATGTTTTCGTGTGTGTAACGTTGTTATTTGATGAATCCGGTTCACTTTTGTGACCTCTGCATTGGATGTCATAACTGATATAAGATTGAATGAATGAAGTAGAATTTCATTCGAAATTTTATGAGGTTTTGGTGAATCTGTTTCTCTTCTTTTTTTTTTTTTTGAAGTTTGTCAAATTTGGGTGGTGATTCTGTGATTAGTCCTCTCTGCTTCAGCTGCTGCTGCAAACTCAAAACTACAATACCAAGGTTAAAGTTTCAGAAAGTGATAGAAAGAAGAAATTCTCGTGTAATTAGCGATTCATCGTCAGATCACATGATGCGTGAGATAGACATATAAGTGATAAATCACAGGTTGCACAAAAAATTTCTCTAGAAAGGCCTGAAAGTTTAATGTATTTGAAGTTGGGGAGCTACTTTCCATTTAACCGAGATACACACCCTTATCTCTATCTCACTCATCACTTGAGCAAGCGTCTTACTCATCACTTGAGCAAGCGTCTTACTCACAAACAAGATATCACAGACAAGGTAAAGGAAGTTGCGTGACGAGTGAGACAGAGTTACGTGAACATATTTCCGGCTGCATTTCCCGTTTTCCTCTCGAAGTCGAGGTCCAAGTCGCGGTAAGATTGTTCAGCAAGACTTGTCAAAATGGAGTCGCAAGCTTCTGGTCGCAATGTATTTCATTTTTTCGTCCAGTCCAGCTTGACATAGTTTGCCAACTGACATTTGACAGGACTGGGCTGCTAACTTTTATTACATGTAGGTCCCTGGAAAAGTTTGCTTTTGTTAGGAAATGCCATCAATTCAAGGTAATGGTAGTCCCTAGCGGTGGTTAGGGACATTGATGGAGAGCTGCCATTTCTCTTATTTTTGTGGCTGAGAAGAAGCCCTATGGGGCTCTAGGGTCTGAGTCAAGCCTCCCAAGACCCCATACAAACTGCTTGATCTAACCTTTATTTGTCTCGTGTCATGGAGAAGTTCTTGTATCCGCCAGCTGTGTACAACACATGATGAGGTGGTAGAACCCGCATGAGATCGGTTGTACCCGTCAGACAAGAGGGACTGGACCGTTGTATCAATGATTGGATGGGTGACCAGTGACATGGTTCGGGCAAAAGCCGAAGCTAAAAATTTCTCCTTGCCGACAATTTAGGTTTTATTTGTCTCTCTTTTTGCACGTTCTTATTTATTTTATTCATTCAGACGATCAGAAATAAACATTGGTATGCACGAAAAGATAAAAGAAAGCTCAGAAATCCCTTTTCGTAAAAGGGATTATGGTCTCGATTAGTCGAAAATAGTCAAATCCTGGAAAAAGCCACTGCAACTGGACAGATTCAGTTTGTTCTATCCAAGGTTCCAAATATGCAAATGCATAATTAAAAGGGTATTTATTCTTCAACTGCATTGTTTCGAACAGAACATGAATTATGTTGAAAGGCAAATACAAAACCGCAGAAAATTCATCGCGAATTCATATCATATCGACACACATCTTCGATCTTAATGATTCTTTATATAACCGTTGGCAGCGAATGTTATACTCACAAGCTAACTATCTAATCAAAACTACCCAGTAAACTACAACACATAAAAACTATTACCATTCACTCTAATGACGCCGAGAGCAACACATCTTGAATTTGCAAAAACACAAAACATTAAAAAATCATTGCCTTTTAACCTTCTAATGTCGATGTTAGCCCACTGAACTGGTGGATAGTCTATTCATTGGCATGTATTTCTGAGCAGGAGACATTAGTTTGTTGCCGAGAACTGACCAGTTTATGCTAATTGGTAACTCATAAGGCCCAGAAAGGCTTTCGAGCTGTCACTGGAACGGAGTTGTTATTAGGTAATTCTTCATTAGTTTCCTCATCGTCATCATCTTCATCGTCACCATATTCCATTAGCTTGACCAGAGTATCTGAAAAACCCAAAACATTTCAGATCCCCATACATCATTAGTTAATCAAAACAGAATTCAAGAAATGAGCAGACAACAAACAATTCCACCATTTTTCTAATTCCCACCCCCGCCCATGGACACACACGAATAACCTTTCTAATCCCATCAGCTCATAGCTCATGCTTACCCGGAACATTATCAGGTTTTGGTTTCTTCAGAGCAATGTTCTTGTCAAGCACTTTAACAGCCTGTGTTGATGACGTAAATTTTGGTGGAGGTGGAGGTGGAGGCATGGTTCTAGGTGGGGGAGGTGGCATTCCATTTGATGCCGGCTGGACCAATTTCTTTGGAGCTGGCATCGTGGATACATTTCTCACACCAAAATCCTGCAGTCAGTTAGGGAGAACAGAAACCAAAAACAAAAACTAACAGCTCAATAACCAGAAAAAAGTGAATGTTTATGTGAAAAAAAAAATGAGCAATAATCTAAAGATTAATAGTTGCAACTAAGAAAATTAATCCAAAAAATGATTTCATATCATTGAACAAGTTTACAAACTGTTCTATAGCTTAACCACATGCGTATCACGTTTCTCTTAAGGCACAGTAATATTAACATTTCTAAATGGCTAAGTTCATAAAGGTAGTAATTGAAGGTTAGTTGTGAACTACATCTTGGAAGAGTACCAAAGGAAAAGGATATTCATGAGCAAGTCTAGAGCTATACTTGCTCCACAGATTCCATGAGCAAGTACAGATCAATAATGGCTCCATGGAATTTGATCTGTACAAGTACCTTTTGCTTTCAGAAAAAACATTCCATGAGTGGCACCCACCAGCATCCACAGCCAATTTTCAACCATCAACACCAATGCCGCTTTTAAGCCAATGCAACTGGAAGTATCAGTAGCTCAGAATTTGCATTTCAAACTCTTGAATCATCGAAACCATGGAGTTCTCATGAAATCCAAGTGAAGCTGGCAATGGTTGTGATGGGGTACCTCTTCTCGAGGAGTTTGGCTGTGCATGCTGCTGGTGACAGCACAAGAAGGAAACACTAGGATGCTTGTCAAGAAATGAAGAAATCCAACACTGGATTGACTTATGACAAATAGAAAACAAAATATATTCTTGTAACTTGAACCTAAGTATATGACATTAAACTAAACAGCAAGAAGTCTAAGTTGTCCGCAGAATAAAGCTCCAACCACAAGTGAACCCCAATGGCACCACGGAAATGAAAACCCTGTGAAAAATACAGACCAGTGGCCCAATAGAGAGGTTCAGTATCGGCCTCATAGAAAGTCAGAGAAAATACCTGGAATAGCGAGCATTGCAAGTCAGTACAAGATTCAACTAAATTACAATAACAAAATATTAACTAAAAGCAACATTTATCAGCATCCACCTATCCAAATGATCAAGCTGTTGCTGAAGAAAACACAACATGACTAAAAAGTATATATATGCATGAGGAAAAAAATAGCATGGTCATTTTTGGTATCTTTAGTCAAATTGATGGGAAGGCCACCCAATGACCACTGTCATGTTAGGCAAATTAGTCTCTCCTGTGTCCAAGCTAAGATATAGATATATTATATGGACAGTTAACCGGCTGAGCAAGAGACCTTACATTGACCTAGCATTAACACGTTCAACCTAGAGTTAGCAGTGTTTCTGTGAGCACAAATGGTCTTTGTTTTCTTAACTAATGAAGGCTGAAGAAGCTTTCAACAAAAAATTATGCAATCAACATGAAATATGACTCCCCTCATAGCAGCCAACTTACGAAAACTAAATAATGAAAAGAGGCCCCTTGTTTCCCGATTCACGAAAATTCCTAAAGAAATACTTCCTGTTCTGACTTATTTATCTGCAATTATATTCTACAAACTTGGACTCGACCAAGTTTAGTAAATTACATGTACATGTATAATTACATATTTACTTTTAAGGTCCCTTTCTATTGGGGGATCCCTTACATAACCTTATTTAGGGGACACATTATGGGGCATGCTCCAAATTTTATTTCAATGATCCAAACTATCTATTTTTTAGGTATTCCCTCAAAGATCATCTTTGCAAAAAATTAGACAAACCAAAACCATTATGACATAGTTTAACCAAAAGAAATACATGAACACAATATTTCAAGAAACACTAAAATGATAACCATTTAATTGAGTGGCCACATGATGAGGATTTTAGTGAGATTTTGCAATGATGGTAATTGATGGAAGACCCAAAGCCTAGACAGTTCGGATCAAATACAATGCTGAATGAGCCCTACAATGGTGTCCCTCAAATAAGACAAACAACCAAGGAGCTTGCACTCGTACCTGATGGACTTTTGCAGGACCAACTGGTAACTCCTGAAATTTCCGCCTTTGTGGAGGCTGTTTCTCCTTCTCAGAACCAGAGGTAACATTCACCTTTGGTTCAGTGCTTGGGGCTGATGTTGTGGGAGCAACTGTAGAAGTGATAGGGGAAGATGACTGTCTAAGGGCCAGAGCAACCTGTTGCAAAGGTGTGACTTGAGGATATATCCCTGCATATCCATTGTAGCTTGTTCCACTAGATAATAGAGGTTGGGGATAACCACCAATGTTCGCCTGAGGTTGCGCACAGTTCAACAATCCTCCAGGTTGAGATACTGTCCCTTGAGAAAAGACAGTAGCAACACCAGGAGTTCCAGCAGAGGAAACTGCCAGAGCTGGTGTAGCACCCACAGTTGGAGACACCAAACTTGTAATTGCTTTTACCTCAATTCCAGAACTTTGAACCCCGGCCAACTGATGCGGTGGTGGAACAGCACTATATACCTGCTGTGGGGGTGCAACAGCACTATAAACCTTAGATGATGAAACCCTATGACAGAAAATGGCAAAACGTTATGTACAATACCCAAGAACAAGCTACTGCAGAAAACAAACTAGCTAATGGAAACCGGATATTCATGCATTGAGCAGAATCATACACTCAAAGTTGTTACCATAACAAATTGAAGTTATACGTATTGGGTGAAACAAATATGTTTTTATAAGAAGCAGAAACGATGAATATGTCTAATTGATAAATAATGAAAGGTTTGTGAATACAGGTAAACCACACTATACATTTCCCAAAATGAACGTAACAGATCACGAAAACAGGGAGAGAGCATGCCTTTTGTCATATTAGGTAAGAAGTCAGAACACTTGAACACTTCTAACCATGCAATGCCCACCAATTAAAATAATTACCTGGAGACACCACACTCTACACTGATTGTATCTAAAAGATTTTCAGCCAAAAGCTTAGCATCTTCAAGACTTTTTGAATTATTACTTGACAAGAATAAATGCAACGGTAGCTGTCCTTCTGCAAGCAAAATAAGAGAAAATACGTAACAATAACCAACAAAATAACCCGGTGCTGGAACAACAGGCTTGTAATAAGATTATAATGCATAAAGAAGGTGAAACCTTCGCCATGTATATTCTCAATATTTCCTGAACCACGCCCTCTGAGTGAGACAGTTGCTCCTGTTTCATTCATAATGTGATTTATATACTGGTCCTGCACGTACAAAATTGGACCACCACCAACACAAAAACAATTTCTCCCAATTGTATGGAGATGTCAGAGAAAGCTTCAAACATTAGAATCACGTATCTCCATCATGTGCAAAATAAACTTTAAATAAATTGCTCAAAAGAATTAAATCAACCATGCTTACAAGCATGAAGGTTATAATTAATAAA